CTTACTGAGAAGCCTAACCTGAAATACATTTCGAACTTGCAGTGAAAAAAGTATTTAACCCGGGTAAAACTTACTGAGAAGCCTAACACTGAAATACATTCCGAACTTCATTTATAAAACTTAAAATTGTTAAGTGGTTAATTTGTGTATATAACTTGTAAGATAGCTTTCCGGCAAAGCGGTTTTAGGGTTGCCAGAAAATGAAAAAGAAAGGCAAGGTTGCCATATTTGGCGGGAAATCGCCTATTTGGCTATAAAATTGGCGACCTGCTGTAGACGGAGCGAGAACATTCTAGAACGAATTCTTGCTGGTTTTCCCCAGAACGTTCTTGAAGACAGGTCAAAAGCTACAAATACCCGGACTGTAAACGGAGTAGCAGTTTATCGTAAAGTGCACCTTGAACACTTGAGTTCAGTAGTAGTACCGTGAGTTAGGTTAGTTCGGGAGCGACAGAACCAATTAGGAAGTCGTGCTCTGCCGTGAAGCTGTTTTCACCGTTGTAGAGTGAAGGCCGTGTTGCTGGTTCTTTCGGCGTATTTATGGTAGTTTTTCGACGCCTGTAAACATATCTTTGGAACTCTCCTGTGTAACACTGAAGAATAAATTGTTTTTTGATTTTTCATCAAGTGTTTTCATCAATCACTCCAAATCCACGAACCCGCAGAACGCAACAATATTCTTGATTGATTTTTAAATGAGAGTAAGTTTGAATCGTTGTAATTTTTAACTGTCATAATTTGGAAGTGGACTGTACAAGTCTGGAAATAAAAATTATTTAAAAAGTAAGAAAACCAGATCAGGACATAGACTGGATTACTATTACGAAACGCACTAGGGCTAAGCGCCTAGGGGGAAGGATACTTTAGAGAAGGGCTCTTTAAGGAAAACTGGCTCGTATTCATGTTACATATTCCAAATCTGGGCATAATTAAAGGTTACATATCATTTGTTTGAAAGAAACTTAGTTTTTGCATTCACACACACACACACACATACATACAAAAAAAAAGTCTGAGTTTATCATATGCATCGTATTTTCTACGTTTCTTTATACACACACGCATTTCCCAAAAATTACTCAATAATTGTTTTCTGCTTAATCCCTTGAATGTATAAATGGACCGTGTTAAACACTGTTGTCATACTGCATCTTTGAGTAATTCTTCCTCTAAGCCCCTTAGATGCTTATCTTTATTTATTTATTTACATTTTAGCTCGATCTGATCATGAAATTTTAAACTTAGCAGTATTATTTAAACCTCTGTAAACCCATTTTTGTAAGTACTGGGCATAAAATATATGTTTTACAAAAAAAATTAGAAAATTAACTTTTCGTTTATTTTATTATTTCATTCTTTTTTTTTTTTTTTTTTTTTTGAAATTCTAGTGAATTTACCAAAAAGCTAACTCATTTGTTAGAAAAAAGGAACAGTTGTTTCGAAGAGGGGGAAAAAAAAAAAAACTAACAATTATTTTCACATTCAAGGAGAAAAAAAAACAAACTGACAGTTATCATTTTCCGAAACAATAATGATTCATTCTAATTCTATTTAAACAGGATTCTTTTATCTCGGTAACATCCGGTGTCAATCTGACAGGAACTTTGTAACCTGAAAGTGTATCAGCAGTTTTATGATATTTTCGGCATAATACATCTAATTGAGACGAATTCAAAAATGCAAGAATATTAGTACAGTTGAAAAACTACCAATAATTTCCGTTCAATTTGATTAACACTCGTATTTTTAATATTCGCAATTTGTAGTAACACTGTCTTAAACATTGTGCTGTTTTTTGTATTTTACATTAAAAAATAACTTGCTACGTAAATGGCGAAATACTATTTATTTTTGTTTTTATGTATATTTTAGTTTATTACTCTTTTCATTATTTAAATGAATTTAATTTTTGCGGTATAAATATATTTACATAATTTAAAAAGGCTTACACTCCTGCTTCTTTTTTTTTCACTAACTAAAAATCGAGAGGGGAAAATTAAGCGATATATACATTTTCTAAGGGAAAACTTAAAGGAAAAACATAGTGCATTAAAAAGAGCATACAATTGGACATATATTAATGATACTTGCATTCTGTATTTCAAAGAAGTTACTAATTACAGTTGAACATACTAACTATACTTGCATTCTATATTTCAAACAATTTGTTAATTTCGATGGCATTCATTTTACTTACACGATACGCTTCACTAACTGTGATTTGCACTCATATTTTGCTTTGCTTCCATAAATCAGTAGCTTCTAAATCACATTTTGAAAGTAACTATTGCTCCTAATATATTGCAACAGCCTTACAACAAAATATATATATTGCAGGTGTTCTTTATAAAAATAGTTTAATGATTTAAATATCATACCTTAAACGCAGGATTTACATAAAAAAAAAATTAAAGGATGAGGGACAACTACTCTTCAGACAAATATCGTTTCCATTAGAACGGTCTAAGAAATAATATCAGCCAAGACCACGGGAGTTAGCAGGTTACTGCAGTTAAAATATTTTACTGTTGTATAAAAAAATTACGAACTAAATGCATTCAAGTTCCATGCATTCCCGCAACCATATCCTCTGTGTATCATTGACTCAGTGCTTTGTCTTGTTCATCAAAACGAATTTTTTCCCCCTTAAATTTCCTGTCATAAAAAGAACTCTTCTGGTTTTTACGGTAAAATGCATAGAATTTAGAATTTTATAACTCAAAGAAAATACCTTAGAAGTCTTTATTGTTTTCATTTCACGGATTTGACGCTTTCGTAAAACGGAAAATGTTTCCACTTCAGGAAAGTATTTGTTACAGGCCTCGTGCGCAAGCTATCCAGTGAAATAAATGCACAGCTACGTCTTGAACATTTAAGATTGTTCTTAAAATTTCTTTCTTAAAAAAGTAACTAAGTACTCATATTTCCATAAGATGTCAAATTCTATGAAAAGTAAACTATAGTATTTTTCCCCCTTCCATTTCCCTTTGCCACTTTGAACAGCGCATCTGAAATATAAAATTTTACATTCAGTGCCTTTAATTTCTGTCATTCTTATAGGCTTCTCGTAACTCCTTTGTTTAAAACTGTTTTTCAATTTTTAACAAACATCTGAAAATTACAAGAAAAAGTTACAATTTTATTTAAATCTTATGATTTTTGCATTTTTTTAATATTTTAAATATTGAATTTACTTTTTTAAAAAATTAATCATAAACTTTTCGTTTAGACTTTCGTTAATTTAGACTTTTAACTGCAGCTTTTAACTTGCAATTTGAGTTTTTCTATTTTATTATTCTTATAACAGAGTCTAAAATTCAACAGTAATAACAAAATACGTATATGATATGCATTTTAAAATTTAATAACTTGAGTTTTGGCTGCATTTTTAAGATGAGTTTTGGAAAATACGAATATTTTTCATTAACACCATTCAACATGCAATCTTCAGTTGAAAAGTTTTCCTAAGAAGCAAATGTTATTTACGAAAAATGTGTCAACAAATTCATAACGCAATAAAACTTGAATGTACGATTGCTCTTGATCTTTTATGAAGGAATGTAACGAAATACTAGCTTATTTTGAGAAGCTCCTGGGAGATACGGCCCCCTAACAGATTCCTTTCTAAAATTATACTTTCTGTGGCATGGTTAGTCTGTTTCGCAATTTATTATCGGTAATCCTTTTATTTCGGTTTAGTGCACGCAAGATTTCAAAAATTTTAAGTTCAAAAGTATTGTTTCAATAAAAAGTTCAGCCTGCTTTTATCCACATGTAAGCATGGCGAACGGCTGAACTGGCGTTGGCAGCCAGTCACCTAAATTAGTTATTATAAAAGAAAGGAAAACAAACATGTAATCATTTGTTTTATGATTCCAGCTAGTGAAAGTTTGCGGGTCCAGGTGGTAACTAATAATAATGAAAGTGAAGATCTGCATTTATTGCTTTTAAATCATATAGCTCGTTAATAAAAGACAAATTAAATTTCAAAGGCAAAAGAATAAATACATCTTATGCTTTACCGAATGGAATACAATAGCGTGAAGTTAAAAATGTTTTACTTCGAGCTTCTTTTAAATCTCTGTGTTTGTTGATTAAATTTAAAATAAAAATATATTACGCTTTTCCGACTGGCAACACAATGGCTTTTAAATCGCTGAATTTGTTAATCAAAAATTCATTAAATTCGCACGACAAATGAAATAAATGTAAAACGAATTCAAAATTCAGGCATCGAGGTGCATATATTCGGGGGAAGACCGAATAATATTTATACATGAAAAAGGACTGCTATTCTTAAATATGGACTCAAGATTAGGAAAGATGGTAGTTCGAGAAAAGGCTGCTGGAATGTAAGAAAGGTTACACACGTCGAATCCCCAAAAGTGGTAAAATATTTTCAAATGTTAGCACGACCTATCGAGGTAAATTAATATCACGCTATTCGATTAAACGCATAACATCAGTTCTTGGAAAATGATATTCACTTGTTTTATGAAATAAAAGTATGCTAAACACAACGAGAAAACCTAACGGCCATCAAATTAGTTAGAAAACTATCATTAATACGCTTGATGTCTAACTACGCCTACTTTTAAAATAATTAAATGTTTAGAAAAGTTTCGTATAGAAACAAAATATAATTAAAATTACACAGAAGTATATAAAAATTTTTAAAGCAAATAAATAAAATCCTATTCAGAATCCGGAGATCTAAAGCTCTTAGAGAGTTCTCTACCAGTGGCGCCTATCAAACCAGGTGTAAATGGAGTACTTACTTTCTTTTAGACTGACTATATGAATTTCAAACAAGTCGACAGGTCACAAGCAATGCTTATAATAAATGTGTGCCCGCCGAAGCAGTTTTATTTACGATTTGCGGAATGGAGATTCGCCTGTGATATTCGCACCGGACAAGCAAGTTATTGCGCGGGGAAATAACCCAAACAGGAATAAGATGACGTAAACCGTGTATTTTGTTTTCCCAGTAACCTTGACTTCCTGTGATTGCAGCCCGTAGTGAAGTAAAGTTACCGTGATTTTGAGGCCATACTAAGGATCCATACGGAAACATTTTCGCTTGTGGTTCAGTAATTCCAGTGAAACATCTATTACCGTCTACACGTAAATTGGACTCTAATAAAAGTAAGCAAATTTTCAGTCTAGTTTAAATCTTTGTAAACATATAAAAATTTTCAGTAAATCTATGCCTGTGGCAATTGTTATGTTTCCTGAATTTTAATTCGTAACTCTAGCACTTGTTGCGAGCACTGCAATACAGCTGTGCTGTTATATAAACGCTAAGACTGGGAACTTTTAGACCAATTCCAGCTTTCGTATCCCGCGTAAAATTAAAAATGAATTCCCCGAGTTAGATAACGTTTAAGCTAGCCGACCTTGTTCGAAGAGTTTTCTCGAAGTGTTTGTTATATTTCTAAATTTGTGAGGCCTTTTTTATTGGATTGCACTCACGCTTGAATATATAATCCCTACAAAAGTAATAAAAAATTCATTATTTTGTAAAATTTACGCAGAAAACTTAAAATTAATTATCGGAATTAGCAAAATTATCAACTATCACTGAGAAGAAATTGATGATGCTGAAAACATATTTTTGACTTTAGGTTATGTATATTAGCCTTAAGCATAAAGTAGAATAATTGGAAAATATTGATTCACTAGCAGTGTATGGCCAAATATGTTAGTCAACACTAAAAATGTTTTAAAAAATTGCATATACTATTGAAGTAAAAAATTATATAATTTAAATTCTGAAAGGCTAATTTTTTAACTCTTACTCTATATCATGCATGTACAAACTCTGTGTTCAAAATTTCAAGTGATTCTATGAGGAATTTTTAGAGTTATCATAACTGCTGTGAACATAAATCATAAAAAAAAAATTATCCAAAGTCGCATTTAAAGTTTTCAGATTAATGTTGCACGATATATATGCATAACTATTCATGCTGCCAAACGAAAATGAGGAAATACTTAACAACAACATTTTGCCAGATTCTCCAGACATATTGAAGGGCTTAAAATTATTTATTTAAAAAATAATATTAAAAAAAAGTAATAATATTAAAAAAAAAAAGGTGTGCTACTTTTGTAGACGGTTGCACGGATTTTTGGCGATTTACGTTGGCCGAATTGTTGGCGCGATTTTTACAAACGTCAGCCATCTTGAAAAACGCTGTTTTTTTACGCATAGTAAAGTATTCGAAACTTAAAAATAAATAAATAAATATCGTTAAAACTAATGGATTAATTTTTTGTTGAAAATGTCGTTGTTTTAAGATGGCAGGCAAGTGTAAATAAATACATTTACTATAAGTATAAAATACTAAAGTAAGGTTATTATTACTTTCATATAGCAAAGAAGAGAATAAAAACACCGCTATAAAAACATTGGGCCAACGTTTAATTAGATTAAAATAAAACTGAAATTGAATATCGAATTAAAAACCATCATACCAACATTTAAAAGAATTAGAATATTATTAAATTCAAATACTTTAAAATACGTTATATAAAATGTAATTAACATTAAAACATATGTGACAATAATTATCTCAGCAATTTCTGAAAATAGTGTATTAATTTTTTTAACAAAAATTGAAGTATACAATTATAAAATAAAAGAAAAATATGTACTTACATTTTTTGAGTGTTTAACCTGTTGTTTACTGATAAGTACCACAATAAAAAATCAGAATCATAATTTAGATAACATCTTTGAAGGAATTGGAAGATATAATTTAAATTTTAAAACGGCGCGGAAATGCACAAATTGTCAGTAACCAATCAGGGAGCTGATTACAGCTCGTTAATGCACAAATATTCTATAAACCAATCAGAGAGCTTATTACATCACGGGCTAGAATTAAAATTATTAAAAATTCATACATAATAAAATCATTTTTTAAAAAAAAATGCAAAATTAAATTGTATTTTAATATTTAAGAGCCATAAATAATGTTTAAAATATTAGATTAAATTTATACATATTAAAACGAATTACTTTAAAGTAAGGTGACGTCATTGATTACATCATCCACAACATAAAATTTCATAAAATATGATAACCAATAAAATTTTTTTTTATTTCAAATAAAAATGCAAAATTAAATTGATTTTTAATATTTAAAAGCCATAAATAATTTTTATTTTAAACACGGGAATTTATGCACAATAAAACGCATTATTTTTAAAATAAAATGACAACAAAGTATCGGTTACCATAAATAACTTATCCAGCAATGGGTTTACCATAAGTTGTATTACTCGCCAAAGGAAAATTGCCAAAAAATCGCCAAAATCCGTGCAACCGTCTACCAAAGTAGCACAAAAAAAAAAAAAAAAAAAAAAAAAAAATTAAAGAGATTGTTTAGCCAAAATCGGTTGTTTGAACGAGGTCATTTATCTTAAGTTGATCTTAAGAACTTAAAACTTTGCTGTGCAAGGAATCTAGTTAGTTTAAACAATTTATTAAATGCATAATTTTTTAGAATTAAAGTTAGGAATGTTTGCAGTCCAGTTTCCCAGTTTTCGAGTAAGATTATATTGCTTTTAAATCTAGGATTGCACAATCAGTTTGTTTTTCGCTAACGCTACCCAAACCCGCGGCTTGGCCCAGTTGTTATTTTCGAGAGCTGCTGCACTTCCTTCCGAGAAATGATCTTTACTTAGTTTAACTAAGATATTATAACATTAGATGATTTATCAGTGTTTTGTTCATTTTTATAAGCTTTTATTTAGTTCATTCATGGTGCTTCACTGCGAGTGTAATTTTTTCATCGATTTTTAACATACTTTGTGATAAGCTATCGAGTTTAAATTTTGTACACGAACTGTTTATCGATGATGTCAAGCGATTTTTCCAAAATTCGATTTATATTTTTTAATTTAATGTGTAAACGATCTTTGACGCATATCTTAGTTAAGCGAGCAGACTAAGCATATCAAAATTTTACGGTATGCACTATCGAATACAATGGGGAAAAGAAATCTTTTCAATGAAGTTGCATGAAAATTATAACTTAATTTCTAAATGATTGGCGAATTTTTGAAAATTGCTCGATTTTTTAAGCAATTTTTTGTTTATGATTTTAAAATTTCAGCATCTAAAAATGTATATAAAGTTTTGAAAATTTCACAGATTATAAAACAAACTTTTCGCCATCACTAAAACAAAAATGATTAAAAAAATTAACTAAACAACTTTCTACATTAAAAAAAAATGTGTTGCAGTCTGAAGCAGACGGTGGAATAAAGCGTTTTGAGTTTGCCTTCTTGGCATATTTAATGACGATGTTTTCCATCTTTGCTCACTTAATGACGAATTGGGAATATTTCGTTTACTCAACGAGTCAAGTAAAATGCTCATTAAGTAACACTGTTATTACATCCATTTCCGAAACTAAATATTCAAAGCGATTTCGTCGTTCTCTGAATGATTGTTCAGTTATTTTTCTTTACTTCGTTATTTTCTTATAATTTATTGCTTGTGTTTTAATTATGACTAAAAATGTTATTGATAATGTGTAATTGAGACTAAAAAGTACAAAAAAAGTTCAATTTAAAAAAGATTTTTATGCAACAAATTTTTATTTAAAGTGCATACAATTAATGCTCTAAAAGGAGAAAAATAATTCATATATAATTTAATGGGAATAACAGATAAAATAATTCTGTTTACAGAACTCATCTACAATTTCAGATCGCGAAGAGCGTGGGGAGCTAAATAATGAAATTTTCAAGGAATTTAATTGCAGTGTGGAATTGTATAAGAAATTATGCTTTTAAATTTATCATGGGTGCCCATAGCTTTTATTACTCGCAATATAAAATAGAACTATTTAATCTATTATTCTCATTAAACTGTATGATAAATTGTTTTTATCATTTTAGTAAATTAATTATCATATTCATTTTAAATAAAGGTTTATTGCATAAAAAACTTTGTTTTAATTGTATTTTACTTAAACATATCGGTTTGGTATAATGCCTGGATATGTAAATTATGAACATTTACTTCATTAGTGTTTCTGATGCAACATATTGAGAACCGGGTTCAGAATAATCATTTGTTTATTTCATCTAGTAATTAATTTTCATTATTTCTCGAAATCCTACGAAGGAAATAATCTGTGAGTGTTGCTAATACAGATGCCAGAAATATCTTTCCCAGCTTTAAGTCTACTTTCTGTTTGCTTTTATAAATATACCGAAATTTTTTATTAACGTCATGACGTTCTATTTTTACTTCCTTGTACGAAGTAAAAAGGAAGTATTGTAATCGCGAAATGTTTCAGGCAACATATTTCAACGAAAATATCCATTTTGACCGCTATCGAATGCAATTTAACGATGTTTTTGCGTGATATCTGTACGTAAGGACAGAATAAAAGGCTCTTTTCCCCCCAAAAAAATTAAAAACTGCTTTAAAATTAATTCTGAAGAGAATTTTTCGTGGCGACTGTACGAACGTACGTACGTATCTCGCATAACTCAAAAACGAGTAGCCTCAGAACTTTGAAATTTTGTATATAGGACTGCTATAACATGTAGATGTGCACTTCGTATTTTGGTTGCAATCGGCCGCACCAAACGTATATAAATATATTTATATATATATCCACTCTGTTACCCGGCTCAATGATCTCAGTTTCTTTACTCTTATATGATTGTAAATTGTATATATTTTTGCTTTAAAAATGATTGAATTATGTTGTTTTTATCTTCCGGTTAAGGTTTTTATGCCTTTCGTAATTCTGGAAGCAATATTTGTACACTTATCAACAATTTAAAAGCTGTTTAAGTGCGGTTAAGTTTTAAATAACATGGCGGACACATTTGTTTACATTTGAAACAGCAGAATTGTAGATTTGTTGCCAATCTAGAAAGACTAAGCTTCGCAACACAAAAATAACGCCTTCATTTATTATTGCGAATTAAATCATGCTTTATCCTTTCTGGAATTTTTTCGAGGAAATAAGTGTTTAAGATTTACTTCGTAATTTTTAATGCAGATATTTTGAGTTTTTATGTATTTTATGTCGCGAAGTGAGAACTGAATTAATTGAATGAGAAATACTCAATCGTCTGTGAAAAACTGTTTTTTTTTTTTTTTTTTTTTTTTT